GTGATCTCCGTTCATTGTTTTCATCTCTGTCAGAAAAATATTTTTTATTCTTTGCTTATTTTTTTCATGTAATGTGAATGCTGAATTTCCTAAAACGTACTATTTATTTAAGATAAGTTTTCTATATCTGTTTTTATAACTTGATTAGCATAACATATGACTTTCAATCAGTCTCCAGGTGTCACCTTTATATAAACACTTAAGTATAGTTTTAAATTCACATATATTTATCCATTTCTAAAGTAAAATATGCCTAACACCTTTTCACATATACTCTCGCCATCAGCTACACTGTACCGGAAATGAGATGCTAACAACAGTACATAGAGAAATAGACTAAACATTTCCTGGAAAACTGGATGACCTTGATGACATCACTAAACTCCCTTTATATATATATATTACTCATTCGATTACACCACCATTCCCAGTTTGTACCTGAAGAAGAAAGGTCCACCTTTCGAAAATGCGCTCGGGTTATAGGGTTTTTTATTCATTTCTATCAAGACTTCTTGAACCTGTGTTTTTTTCTAACATCTTCAGTGATTGATATAGTATTATTGCTTTACCTGGTAACCTGATACATTGAATGAAACCTGTGACTAGGTGAAATAAAATGTGGTACTAATAAAATACTGTTTTTGAAAATCCACCTGTGTGAATTCATGTTATATTGCAAGAAATGAAAATTTATAACAACCAAATATTAAAACTGAGGTATGAACTTGCACATGTACCTATGAAAGTACAGTAGATTCGTTGAATTCACATTGGTTGTAAAGTAAATTTAATTATATGACGTATGGCAGACTTACTAGGCCAACATATTGTCTGTTTATGCCCAATGATATGATGTAAATTGTCAAGCCAACATGTCTATTTGTGCCTGATATGTCATAAAGCAGACTGTTGCCAAGTAAACATATCTGTTTACAATTTCAATTCATCATTTTTTTGACATGGTGTTGGTTGGATTTGGGTAAACATATATATTGGTTTAAGCCTTATGTAATACTGACCACATAGTTTATTGTATGGTTTGTTTAAATAGATTCAGTGACTAAAAAGTATTTAATAATGGGTTTAAAGTTTTGTTTGTGTGTTTTCACATAGAAATTGCTTCTGGATTCAATGAAACCACTCAGACCAATGTAGAGCATGGAGAGAGCTATCATTTGATGTATCACTGGCCCTTGTTGGTCCAGCAACATTTTGCTGACACCCTGTTTTTGGTTCTAACATTTGCTTGCTGGTTGTTACTATATAGCAGTGGAAATGTTTAGCAATCATAGTTATTTTATTTACAATTAGTGGGAGTGTGGTTGCCTTGAAATAAACTGTGCAAACACAGTGTGTAACAGTACTGTAGACTTTTCATTTGCTGTTTGGGATGCAATAATTTTGCATTTTGTTTATGGGAGATTTATATATATATATATATGCATGCAATTGCAGCTTCTCATTCATGCACTTCGTGACTGGGAACTATAATTCTGTGGAACTCCCTACAAGTAGTGTAGACCTACATCTCTGCCTTACCATTCATAATTTTTTTTTTGTCGATTGATTTCCTATATCATTGACATGTCTCCTTCATAACATATTCAACAAAATATGTGCTTTAACATATGTAAAGAGCTAGGGTATTTTTATTATTATTATTTAAATTAGGTAATGGGTAAAAGCTGAATGTGCATATTGTTGCTTGGATGGGACCCTTAACCCTTTCATTATGGGCTGGGTGGAATCTGCCCAGCTCATAACCACAAAAGTATCCATGGAAGTAATTATACCATGATTTTTGATAATGTATGTGTATCTTTTCAAAACTTTGCAGGTTATTGGTAAACATTACAAGCCATTTGTATACAAAATATCAGGTTTTTAAATTAAGTATTAGGATTTGTTTTTAAAGTTTTCTTTCAGAATTTTGATTATCCAACATGCAAATTAATTTTGATTTTAAGATTAAAAATACTTTTATGCATTAGAACATTTTCAAATTTCATATGTGGAATCTTTATAACCTCCAAATAATTATAAAATTAAAAAAACTTTATATTTTATCTGTTATTTTCACTACTGTATCTCTGTATGATTTGATTTGACCAGTTTCGTAACCTTTATATATATAAAAAAAAGGAAATAAATATAAATTATGCTTTTTTCATTCTAGAATGACTTCAAATTATAACATGAAAACACAAATGTTTAGTCTAAATATATTAAATTTCATAACATACATTTATATATATTTATTATTTCTTTTATATTGACCTTTCAGCCATGCCTGGCTAACATTATTGAAGTTGCAATGATACGGCACATGTGCACTTATGTTACCGTA